CCTTTTTAAAAAAAGTTACAAATCCATTCATTTTTTCTTTAGTCTCCTGATTTAAATACGTGGCCTGAATAAGTTAAAATAAAACTTACAAAAAAATAAATCTTTGATTATTAATCCAAATTAACAGTAAAAGAAGCTTAACATAGAATGAATGTTAAAGTGGGTTTCTAACTAGATCTATGATATAGGATTAATAATTAATGGACTACAGAAACATACAGAGCTGGAAATATCATCGTTATCTGACTGAAATGTTTCTGGTAAAACCCACTTTAGTTGATAATTGTTGGAGCTGAATGATTATAATATACAAAAGTGCATATATACTATTCATTCTACTTTATGCATGAAAATGTTCCTAATAAAAAGCACCCCTCTCTCCCACTAACATAGTCTTTGGAACTAGAGTTTGACAATTCATGACCAGTGACTACTCAGATACTCCAAGGGCTTTCCTGTGTGTGCTCAACCAGATTCTAGCCTTAAAGATATCCCTTTCAATACTTTTATTGAAATCTGTACTAAGAGATCAAAATGAATTTTATAATCTTTGCTCACTTTGTTGATTTCATTAGGAATAAGAAAGATCAGTTCTTGAATGTTAGATGATATAATAGTGAATGAGATTTTATGTTAGTAAGTGATACATTGAAAGCAAAACACAGTAACATTTACTGAGAACTCCACTTGAGTTAGGCAATCATAGTAACAGTTAACATTTATCAATATTTATTAATTTATCATTTGTTAGACACTGTGCTAAACAGATACATTACTTCTAAATTTTAGGTCTTTTTTTTTTTTTTTTGGAGAGATTTTCACTATAGGGTGCGTGCGCTCGCCAGACAGACAGAGAGAGACATTAGAGACAGAAAGCGAGAAATTACCCCCCAGGGGGGATGGTCACGCCTCAATCCCTTCTCCTCCATTCTCCTCTTGGATCTTGGGCACGCACACACACACGCCCGGCGTGAGTTTTCAGCCACCGGGTCCGGGACGCGAACCGCGGTCGACTACGTGGGAGTCCAGTGACATAGCCATTACGCTTACTGCTGGTTCCCAGTTTTAGGTCTTCTTGAGAGGTATTATCATCACCATTTTAGAGATGAGGAAGCTAACACTCAAAAATTATATTTTTTTAAACTTTTATTTTTTTGGTGAGGTTTTTGTTATATGATGCATGCACTTGCCAGAAACACAAAGAGAGACACAGAGACAGAAAGTGAGAAATCACTCCCCCCCAGGGGGGATGGCCATGCAGAAATCCCTTATCCTCCATTCTCTTCTTGGGATCTTGTACATGTACGCACATGCTCCCAGCGTGAGTTAAAGCCACTGGGTCCAGGCCTCGAACTGTGGTCAATTACGTGGGAGTTCAGCAACGTAGCCATTATGCTATCTGCTGGTTCCCCCAAATTATATATTTTTTAATTAATAAAATGGCTTACCCAAAGTCATTGGTCAAGTGGGGAGAATTAAAATCCAAATGAAAAATGAAAACCCCTAAGTCCTTTCTGATATATATACACACACACACACACTATATATATATATATATATACACACACACACACACATATGTGTATATATATGCATATATATCCTGTTCTTTTTTAATTTTCAGATTCATTTTACATGAAGTCCCATCATGATGTATATGATATAAATTATTTTTCAATAGAGAACTTGACATTATTTTTGTCTGTTAAATGTTTCTTCCCTTTGCACTTTACATTCACTCTCTACCATCTACTCTTTACCATCCTCTCCCCTCCCTTATAGTCTCTGATATCTACACTTATCCTCTTTACTATCATATATTCAAATCCTTCCGTTCCTGCAGGGGAGTGCAGATATTCAGTACATACTAAATGAGGATATACAGTGTGTCTCTTTCAAAGCCTGGCTCACTTTGCTCAGCACTTAAGTCTTCTATATTCACTTTGAATCAAATGATAAGAGTTTCATAGTTTCTTATAGCAGAATAATATTCCACTGTATACAGGTGCCACAGTTTTTCAATCCACTCATCAGTTTTTGGATATTTAGGTTGATTCTGTATCTTAGTGATTGTGAATAATGTTTCAATAAACATGGATAAGCAAGTGTATTTTCACCTGTTTTCCTGTCCTTTGGGTAAATACCAAGGAGTGGGATTACTGGGTCATATGGAAGTTATATTTGATGGTATTTTGAGGAAACTCCACATTGCTTTTTATGGTGGCTGTACTAATTTACATTCACACCAACAGTGAACCCTCTGATACCGTTGGTGTGAATGTAAGGTTCTCTTTTCACCGCAGCCTCCTCAGCACATGTTCTTCACTTTTTGGTGCTAGCAATTCTCACTGGGGTTAAATGGCTATCTCATGATGGTTTTAATCTGCTTTCCCCTTATGACCAGAGACTTGGAACAATTTATATATATATAAAATCATGTGTGTGTGTGTGTATGCCTTTAGGTCATTTGTTAAGTCTTCCTTGGAGAGTTGTTTATTAAATTCATTTGCCCATTTTTTTTGGAGAGGTTTTTGCTATAGGGTGCGTGCTCTCGCCAGATCGAGAGAGACAGAGAGATAGAAAGTGAGAAATCACCCCCCAGGGGGGATGACCACACTGCAATCCCTTCTCCTCCATTCTCCTCTTGGGATCTTGGGCATGCACGCCATGTGCCCAGCATGAGTTTTAAGCCACCAGGTCCAGGACTCAAACTGCGGTCGACTACATGGGAGTCCAGCAACATAGCCATTACGCTAACTGCTGGTTCCTCATTTGCCCATTTTTTAACTGAATAATTCACTTTTTATTGGTGAGCTGCCTGAGTTCCCTATACATTCTGGTTATTAATCCCTTCTCTGGGGAATAATTTCCAAATATTTCCCCCCACTCCAAGGGTTGTCTTTTCACTCTATTGTTTTCTTTGCTGTAAGGAAATTTTTTAGCTTGATAATACTCTCACTTGTCTATTTTAGGGTTTATTGTCTTTAGGAGTCATATTTAAGAAATCTATGCCTACTTCAATGTCTTCAAGAGTTTACCCTAAGTCTTCTACAAGTAGTTTTATAGTTTGAGGCTTTACATTTAAATCTTTGATCCATTTTGAGTTGATTCCTATTAATGGTGAGACATAGGGGTTCAGTTTCATTTTTCTGCAGGTGATATCCAGTTCTTCCAGCATTATTTGCTGAAAAGACTTTCTTTTCTCTGCTGCATTGTCTTTTACCATTTGTCAAAAATCAGTTGGTTGTATGATTTGGGGTTTATTTCTGGATTGTCTCATCTGTTCCATTGGTTTATGAGTCTATTTTTGTGGCAGTACCATGATGTTTTGATTATCAACACTTTGTAATATATTTTCAAGTTGAGTAGTAAGATGCCTCACATTTTATTCTATCTACACAGTACTGCCTTAGAAAGGTGGTGTCTTTTATGATTTAGACAAACTTTCTAATTGTTCTATTTCTGTGAAGAACGTCACTGGCAATTGGATTGGAATCACATTGAATATGTAAATTAATTTGGGTAGAATGGACATTTTGCTAATATTGACTCTTTCAATCCAAGAACAAAGAATGTCTTTCCATATTTTAATATCACACTCAATTTATTTTTTTCAGTTTTTCATAGTTTTATTGTAGAGGTCTTTTACCCCTTTAGTTAGGTTTATTCATAGGTACCTTATTAATTTTGTGGCTATTATGAATGGGATTGCTTTCTTCAGTTTAGTCTAAGTTTGTTCACTGTTGGTGTATGATTGTTTCTGTCCTACATTAAGCTCCTTGAGAAAAGAAACTTTGGGTTATTTAGTTATTTTCCCATCCATCCAGCAGCATACTGGAATCTAGTAGATGCTAAATAAAAATTTGTTGAATAGTCAGCTACTGTATTTCTATACCCTCTCCCTGTCTCTCTGGCAAGTGCACACAAGCACTGGCAATTTGAAGAAAAAAATTCAAGGGGGCAGGTAGTTGGCTTGGTGGGTAAGGCACTGGACTCTCACATGGCTGACTACAGTTCAAGTCCAAGACCTGGCAGCTTGCTTTCTTACTTTCCCTCTTCTTCTTTGTCTCTCTCTGGTGAGCACATATGCCCTGTAGCAAATTAATAAAAAATAATGATGACAAATAAAATAAAATAAATGTTTTTTAAAAAAAAAACTGTGCAGGAATTTAATACTCTCCTTGCATCATTTGTATTAATAGCTCATTTTCAAGGACACAAGTCAATCTTAAACACAAAGACTATACTTAGCAGCTAGTATCAAGATAAATACCTGTGCATAAATATACCTTATAAATTTTAAATGTATTTTAAAATGTTTTATATTTTAAGGTTGCTGAGAAAACTATTGAGCAACTGTAAAATGACCATAACTACATTAAAAAAAAAAATCCTCCATTACTTCTGTTCAGGTGTCCACAAAACATGTAATGAAAATACAATATGCAAACACACATTCTTTTAAAATTTATACATAGACAAAGGAGTATAGTTAACTTAAAACAAGATATAAAAACAAGATATAACAACTGTGCATGAATATGCATGGCAATTTTCATTTGCTACTTGAGAAACTGATACTCTAGTATTAAACATAGATGAAGAGACTTCAAAAGTTCATAGAAATGAAATTAAAGTACAAACTTATTCTGGTGCAAAAATTTTTGAAACTTAGGCAGAGTTCTTTCATAATCCACATTTTTCTATGCATTTTCTGGAGACCCCTCATATTTGCAATTTTGTGCTAACCAAGCAACCAATAACATGATATTTTATTGAGCAAGAAATATATTTAAATCATTATTTAGCTAATTAGTGATTTTATAAATATTAAAAAGTTATAATTTAATTCATTATTTGACAGAGTAAATTCTTATTGTGCAACAAAGAAATAGATGCAATTTTCATTTTTAGGAAGTCAGCATGT